CTCTTGGTTTCATTGATCTTTTGTATTGTTGTGTGTTTTTTTTGGTCTCTATGGCATTTATCTCTGCTCTGATCTTTATTATCTCCTTCCTTCTGCTCACTCTGGGCTTTTCTTGTTGCCTGAAAGATATTTTTCCATCCCTTCACTTTCAGTCTGTGTGAGTCCCTTAAGCCTGGGCCAGAGGCATTACACCTGGGCAGCAGCGGAGCCAGTGATCAGAGCGTCTGGGGGTCACCTGCCCAGGCCTAAAGCCTGGACCATAGGATTTAGGCCTGGGTAAGGATGGAGCTAGCGATTAGAGTGAGAAGGACGGCCTCTGCCCAGGTCCTGGGCTTTAGAACTTGGCAGAGGAAGAGCCAGTGATTGGAGGGAGATGGGAGGCCCCTGCACATGCCTAAAGGGTGGACCAGAGGCTTTAGGACTGTGCAGGGGCCAAGCGATTGACCGGAGGGAGATGGGTAGGGGTGGTGTCGGGGATCAGACGGTCAGGGGGTCACCTGCCTAGGAGTAAAGCCTCGGCTAGTGGGTTTAGGTATAGATATGTTTGGAGCCAGGATATGAGATTTACCCCATAATATACCCTACAGATTAACTAGGGTTCTTGAGACAATTAGGTTTTATCATGAGCAGATATTAAACATAAGCAATTCCTTTTCTTCAAGTGTTTTCTACTTCAAATGAAGCTTAAAAGCTTCAAGGCCCTATAATACACATGATGACAACCTTTGGGCTTTTGTTTTAAAAGTTAAAATTTTTAAATTAGAAAGGTGACAATCCGTAGTCAAGAATTGACCACCACCACCCCAAATTAAATAAAGCCGGTTACTTTGAAACTTCACTAATACAGCAGCCACGAGTTACATGTGGCTATTAAGCACCTTTAAAATGTGGGTACTGTAAACTCAGATAAGCTGTAAGAATAAAATGCACACAAAATTTTGAGAGACTTAAAATGAACAAAGAATGTAAAATATTTTACTAATTTTTATGTTGATTAAATGTAAAATAGTTCAACTATACCAGGTTAAATATATTGTTACTAAATTAATTTTACCATCAGAAAGAATACTAGTATATTCACTCCTATGCTCATAGCAGCACAATTCACCATAGCTAAGATTTGGAAACAGCCTAAGTGCCCATCAGCAGATGAGTGGATTAAAAAACTGTGGTACATCTACAGGATGGAATACTATGTCAATATAAAAAAGAATGAACTTTTACCATTTGCAACAGCATGGATGGAACTGGAGAGCATTATGCTAAGCGAAATAAGCCAGTTGGAGAAAGATAAATATCACATGATCTCACTCATATGTGGGATATAATGATCAACATAATCTGATGAACAAGAATAGGTCTAGAGATAATGGCAGGGGAGGGGGGTTAGAGAGCAACCAACATACTTGTACGCATGCATATTAGCATATCCAGTGCACACAGGCATTGAGGTGGTGGGGGCTTTCCTGGGATGGGAATGGCTGGGGTTCATTTGGGGAAAAAGAAGACAAATGTAAAACTTTAGACAATAAAAAAAGAAAAAAAAAACAAATGCTGACATATAAAACCATCATATACTTTGCACATGCACACTGGACTATAACTTAAAGATTTCAGCAATTTAAGATTAATGTAACAAACATATTTATAATTTATACCTTTGCTCCTTCTGAAATATTGTCCCAGTTTCCACCACTCAAGGAGAACTTTCCATTGCCTATACGTAGCAGTATCTCTTCAGGAGTATCATTGGGGCCATTAGCAAACGGAGTATAGCTATTAATAAAATATATTTTAATAAACATAGGGCCTACTATACATATGAAATACAATTGAAAGTGATGAACCTAAGACTACATGCAAATATTTAATCTAGCAAATTAGAATATTATCTATTAATTCCCTTCACTGTGCACATCAAATTTGATACTTCAAATAATGAACTTAATCCTAATTAATTATTTAATAAAATGAAGAATTTTGTCTATATCAAAGACTTGTTGCCTTTGATCAGTTAATCCATGTAAAATAAAATAAATGTGGCTTTTCATGTAAAGTGAGTCTTAAAATCAGACTGCAATAAAACATGCACATTTTGTATTCTCCCGGGCATAAGTCAACAAACCTAATATACCTACCATGAGGAAATTGTTAATGTTATATATTCATAGAAATGCGTTTATTTTATTGATTCAAATTTGTTCATTAGCATTTTATAAATATTATCAGTGGAAACAGGTTAACAATAGTTTCAATTAATGTCCATGAAAAAACGTTAGTTAAATATTTAGATCAGTATAACAAAAAACCCTCTAGAGCAGTGATGGCGAACCTTTTGAGCTCGGCGTGTCAGCATTCTGAAAAACCCTAACTTAACTCTGGTGCCATGTCACATATATAAATTTTTGATATTTGCAAGCATAGTTAAAAACAAGATTTGTATTTTTGATTTTTTTTATATATTTAAATGCCATTTAACAAAGAAAAATCAAACAAAAAAGTGAGTTGGTGTGTCAACTCTGACACGCATGTCATAGGTTCGCCAACACTGCTCTAGAGCATTAAAATTATTATGTGAATCAATATTAATGGAAAGGAAGAAAGACAAATACCTTGTATAATGTTAAAATAGCTTAAAATTAATTATAGAATGACAGAAAGTGATCAGTTTTGTACCATTTTAACAGATGAAACTGAAAATAGTATTCAAATTTAGGATTGAAAAGTCTTACTGTTAAAAAGTATGAGAAATATGTCTTAACATGTTAATGCCTTAATTCCTCATGCAATAATTAAAGTTGATATAACACTAAACACACATATATACACTAACATTTATTTTTTGTTTATCATAAAGTAAATATTTGAAAGCAGCAATCCAGAAATGGTATCCTTGTTTCATGTGAAAACTTTAGCTATTCTTAACTTTACCACTTACTTTGGGCTATAACAAATAGTTTGCAGAATTTTATAATATATCTAAAAGTACATGGAGCCTAGCCAGCATGGTTCAGTGGTTGAGCCTCAACCTATGAGCCAGGAGGTCATGGTTCAATTCCAGGTCAGGGCACATGCCCTGGTTGTGGGCTGGATCCCCAGTGTTGGGTGTGCAGGAGGCAACCAATCATTGTTTCTATCTCATCATTGGTGTTTTTTATCTCCCTCTCTCTTCCTCTCTGAAGCCAATTTAAAAATATCTAAAACAATAATAAAATACATAGAATACAATGACATATGTAATGATCATCAAGCCAATAAATAATTGTGTGATGATTTCATATGTATAAATCTTCTGTTATATCAAGCATATTTTAATTATACTAAATGCCTTCTCTAAAAAGTCAAACCTAAATACATAATAATCTTATCTAATAATAGACAAACACGGTAATTGACTGTACCTTCACTACGTCTCCCACTGGCTAATCAGCAAGGTATGCAAATTAACCGCCATCCAGGCCCCCATGGGCTATCCCAGAAGCCGCCTGCCTGCTGTGCGTGATCGAACCTGGTCCTGGGCCGCAGGCCGGCCCTGGAAGCCCCAGAAGCTGCCTGCCTGCCGCCCGTCATAGGATCCGGTCCCGGGCTGCAGGCAGGTGGGCCCCGGAAGCCCCAGAAGCCACCTGATGTGGCAGTAACTCTATCAGTAAGCACTCTGAAAGTCAGTGGCATAAATGCACCAATTAAAAGACAGATTAGGAGGGTGAATCAAAAACAAAACCCACTTTAAATATAAAGACACATATAAATTAAAAGTAAATGAACTAAGCTGCAGCCTGTTTTGCTCAGTGGATAGAGCTTTAGCCCGTGGACTGAAGGGTCCCAGGTTCAATTCCAGTCAAGGGCATGTACCTCAGTTGCTGGCTTGTTCCCCAGTCCCTATCAAAGCATGTACAGGAGACAACCAATCAATGTGTCTCTCCCTTTCCCTTCACTCTCTCTAAAATTCAATGGCAAAAACAAAGTAAATGGATTAAGTAACATTAAAGAGATTATAAGAAAAATATATTCCAAATTTTGTTAGTTGTATAATGGTTATGTCTAAATTATTAACACCTAAGAAATTGGGTAAAGGGTGCATATAACATGTTGTAGTATTTTATAGTTTTTTTTACATGTATGAGATTATTTTAAA